TGTGTGAAGCGCAGATTCTCCCTGCCGTGTTTGCAGGAGGGGACACTGCCCATGTCCACATGCCTCAGGACAGGTTGCCACTGTGGCCCCCGGAAGGCTTGGAGGGGCTGTTTGTTGGTGAGCTATGACGGTGCCTTGTCTGCAGGGGAGGACAGTCGCTGCGGCTGTGGCTGGGGCTGGGGGAGGCACTGATCTGGACCCCGCCAGGAAGCTGAGAAGAAAACCGGCACTATGGGGTCACCTGGAGCTGGGTTGAGTCTGCTCAAAAACGCCTCCGCACAGTCCCCCACTGTCCCCCGCCCAGAGCTCAGAGCTGGAGAAGCTGTCAGGGGCCGAGCCTTCCCCTGCCCATCGCAGGGCTCCCTCCTGAGACGTCCTCTTCCTCCACGGTGTCCCCTCTGCGATGCTAAGGACATGCGTGCCTTCTCCATGTGGCATTCTTTCGTTCTCAGCGCAAAGGATAAAACACTACAGAGGTGTCGGCAGGCTGCTAAAAATAGCCCATCTATTAAAAGGTGAGGACTGGCTGGGAAATGCAGAGGGCTGGGAACAGCAGACACCTCTGTTCGCTTCCTTCTGGTGACAGCCCACCCGCCCCAGACCTTTTGGTTGCCCTGACCCTCCAGCCTGTGAAGCCAGGCAGGGCCATCAGCTACCCACCGAATGGCTGTGCCCACCACAGCCACGTCGAGGGCCTCTTCATATGGCTACCTTGGCACACACTGGCTTTGAAATCATCTGTGTCCCCAGAGGAGCCAGCTTTTATTAGGTGCCATCTTTCCTCGAACAAAGAAGCAGTCCGGCCCATCCCACTGCCAGCGCACTGTAGTCAGCTGTGGCAGAGAAACAGGCACCTCTGGCACCAGTGCTGACAACACCAAGGGGTCCCAGGGGCCGAGAGTCTACAGGGCCGTGGGCTGCGGAAGCAGTGACACACAGGAACCCCCACGGGCTGAGGGCTCTGGGCTCAGGAGGCAGGCAGAGAAGAGGCCCAGCAGCGAGGCCAGCGGTGCCTGGGTCACCCGCCTCCCTGGGCAAACTCCTCCCCATCCTGCTGCACCCACCTGCCGCCCGCTCCCCAGAGCCAGCTGTCCGTCTGGCCTCTCTTGGGGCCTCTGCTCTCCCAGTCCTTGAAGATGAACGAGGCTTCCTCCTCTCTAGATCCTTCCTGATGACCCAGGCTTAACTCCGGGAGCTCCGGTGGCACTCACAGCCCTGGCCCTGGAGAGCGCATCTCCCTGCCCAGCGGCAGCAGCACTCATCCACCTCCCCCTTAGGACAGAGTCTCTCAGGGTGCGGGACAGCCCGCCAGTGCGCCAGACCCAACCGTCCCCCCACCTGTCGTCCTGCACCTTGACTTCCACCGTCTCAGAGTCTCTGCGAGCAGGGACCACTGCCATCCTCTCACGCTTGCTGTCCTCTGTACACCCCCTTCCCAGCCCTTGTTGTCCCCCTACCCACAGAGCCAGCCTCAGACCGCACTTCAGAACGAGGTGCCCCGACCCTGTGGGCTGAGCTGGTCCCTGGGCTCGGGGCTGACGTCATTCCAAATGTCCACACTGTGTGTTTCTTGCTCCTGGGGGTCAAGTCCCTCCTGAGAGTCTCGGGTGGAGGGAAGTCAGCGAGTTTCTCAGGGTGATAGAGCTGCCGCATGAGCGGGGTCCACTCTGCCCCCGAGCCACAGACTCCTGGAAACATAGCCAAGCCCGCTGCACCCAGGCATAAAGCGCCCCCCACAGGGCCACCCGCGCAGTCCAGTCACGCCAAAGGCTGCTTCCATAGGCTGTCCTCAGCTCAGCTCCGGAGGACCACAGCCCTCCTTCTGCCCCGGGAGGGGACGCTGAGTGAGGAGGGCAGCAATGCCTGGGCTCTGCACTTCAGCCCCACTTAGCTGCCAGCTGCTTAAAAATAGAAGGAAGAGATTAAAAAGGAGCACGCGAAGCGGCTTTGAGGAAAGCCATCAGCGGCCCAAATGTGCAGACTAATTCAATTTCCGCATCTTCCCGGCTCTGAAGTGCGTGGTGGCAGAGCCCTGGAGCCCTCTGTCAGGGCGGGAGCAGAGGAAATGTCAGGCTGAGCTCCTGCAGGCTCAACGGCCACTTGTAAATTTCCCCAACTTCCTCCAATGCCAGCGTCCTGCGTACAGCTGCCAACAACACTTCAGCCCAGTTTGGGAAAGCCCCCCGCCCCTGCCTCCGGAAGGAGCCATGGAGGGACAGCAGTGTCTCGGCCACACCTGTCCTTGGCAAAGAGACTTCTCCATGGGGCTGCTCACAGGGTGGCCGTCGCCCCGTCCGTGTAATCATACACTGAGCGGGGAAGAGAGATGGGCACCTGAAACGGGAGCGGAGGCACCCTTCCTAACCTCATCTTGGCAGGGATGTGCTCCGTCTGCTTCTGCTGCGAAACCCGAGTGAGCTCCAGGTGTAGGTCACCGGATCCTGCTCAGAGGCGGTACTCCTGCTTCATTTCATGGATGGACAAACTCAGACCCTGCAGGCTGCTTGCCCGAGCTGACAGACCCAGCAGGACAGAGGTGGCATGGGCCCTCGGACTCTCCCCTGGCTGCTGCTTGCCCACCGGGGACCTGTGGCCTTGACAAAGTCACCCAGTGACCTGGACTTCAGTTCCCTGTCTCTTCAAAGGAACAAATTCTGCACGTCACCATGGCCCCAGAAGCCCAAGGTAACGTGAGACAAAGGATGGGGAGCTTTGGGGAGGAAGATAAATGGGTCCAGTGTCTGAGGGCCGGCCGAAACTCAGTGCTCCAGATGCTGGGAAACGCCACATTTCCACTGGCCTTGGGTGACCTAGCATCTTCTAGGGCCTGTGAGACACTGCACTGTATCCGTCAGGGCAGGTGAGACTGTCCCAAAGCAGCAAACAGCCCCCAAGGCCCTGGGGCTTCAGGGAACTCAGTGTTCCATGCCCAAGGGAGGAGGCCAGAGGAATTTGACTTGCCAGAGGAGCTTGGAGACGCACGAGGTGGAATCCCATGCCTGCACGAGCTTCCTCAGCCCCCACAGCCTGCTGCACACCCCCTTGCCCGTGCCTCAGTGGACCAAGTAGCACATGGTCATACCTGCCCCTAGGCAGGGCCCATGCTTTCTTCTGCTGCTGGACAGAGAGGCCAGGGCCAAGATCCCCTCCTTGGAGCCTGCTGTTAACACCAAGGGGGCTCCAAGCAGGACCCTCAGAAATAACCCCAAAGAAAGGAATGCCCCAGTCCAGAATGTAAACCCAGCACTTCTGGAAGCTGCCACCCAACGCAAACACGTGAAGGAATACTGCCCCGCATGTCCCCGGCCACAGGCATTGGATCCACTTTTGCACGCTGGATTCGCGCTTGTCTTCCTATGGAGAATAGCTCCCCAGCCAACTGTGACACTTGGAGACTGAGTCACTATTGAGGTTCATCCTCGTCCTCCCACAGGAGATGGAAACAAAAAAAACATGTGGACACCGAGGCTTCCTTGTATGTCTCCTGGAAGCAATTGCTTAATTAATGACTAACATGAAATAAAAACAAACAGAACACAAACACACCCGCCCTCTCTGCCAGGGAGCAGGTTGAGTGCACAAGCAGAGGAAGTTAGAGACGCCACCCTTGGCAGGGGGATCCTAGGTGCGAAGGTTTCTCTGACCCACCTGGTGGTCTGGGGCTGTTGACTTCCGGCTCTGTGCCTCAGTTTCCCCATCTGGGAACTGAGAAGGACTGCTCATCCGTGAGGGCATTTAGTCCCTGGGCCACTCAAAACGCTTCCTACCCTCTACAAGAGTCGCCTTTCCTGTGTCCACCTCCACCGGCCTCTGCTGTCCTCTCTGCCAGGTTCCTGAGCCTGGCCGTATGGCCTGTGCGCTGGGACCTGTAACAGCGCCTCCCCAGGTGGCCACGCTGGGTACAAAGGATGCTGGGGACACTACACGCGAGGGCCAGTGCCCAGCAGCAGTCGCAGACTCGGAAGGCCGTGTTGTCTCTTCTTCCTGTCCTCCATGTAAACTGATGACTGCTCTAAGGAAGTAAGGTCACGGGCTCCAGGGCTGGGGAGGGCTGAGGTCTGCCGAGCTCAGGTGGGCAGCCTGGGAGGCTAACCTGAGTCACAGGCACACTGGGGCGGAGACAGAGGCTAAAGCTTGGACAGCTGTTCAAGGGCCTGAAAGCGCCCAAGCTCATTTTGCCTCTCATCCTACAGCATTCACCTCTCCGCTGTCACGCTGCTCTCAGCCAAGGTCAAGCAGTCACAGGGTGCTTAACACAGGCTTGGCTTCTGCAGGGAGCTCAGCCGCACACCATTAGCAAAGTTCGCACATGGGCTTCGGGTACTTTCAGAGCTTCCTAGGGGCCGCCCACTCAGGAAGGGCTGAGCACTTCTTCCCCTGCTTTCTGCTTTCCATCCTCACTCTGATCTCAGGTCCCCCACCCAGGAGTCTTCGCAGCTGCCTGACTGCATGCTGGAGCTCTGGGGCCAGCACCTGGGTGTGGGAAGGAGGACAGGGACAGAGCCGCAAGGCCCAGGGCCCCTTGTGCCGGGGCGCCAAAAGGCAGCCATCAGTGCTGAGCCTCAGCCTCTTCCTGAGCTTCCGCACAGTGGCAAGACTTGGTCCCTCGCGGGAGGGGACCCCACCCCCTCCGGTCCTCACCTCCTAGAAGCCAGGGCCCTGCCCTTCTTCCTTTTATTGACTGCGAATTAAGCTGGCCTGGTGGGGAACAAAGGAAATGACATCGTAGGGGCTTGATTAGGATTGCACTCTGGACACACACAGATTCAAGCAGTCTTGCTATGCTTTTACAAGATGGCGGCTGTTTTCACAGCTTGAAACCTAAGGGGCTTGGAGTGTTAGGAATTACAACTGGAGCTGGCAGAAGCCAAGCTGTTTTCAAGACAGGGGTTTGCTCGCAGGCTGAGCCTCTGGGCAGTGCTAAAAAGGTCAGCACACCACGTTCCTGGAGAAAGGGTTCTTTGTACAAAAGAATGTGTAACATTCCAGGAAACCTCGTTTGGCCCCATCCCAAGGTCAGCTGGCGTGCAGGTTGGGCCTGTCTGCAGCCCAATTCCAAGGGTCAGCTGGGAGGGTGAGTCTGAGACCAGACCTAACGATGTCTTCTGAGTCCGTTTTCAGTGCCCTGATAACTCGGCGCTGCTCCATCTTGATTTTCTACCAGGACCCTTCGGAAGACTGGTCTCCACGGCTGATTTTGAAGCCCTTCCTGCAGGGGCAAGATGGCACCTGGCTGGCTGTGTGTCCCTCTGAACCTGGGTGATGTGGACAGTATGCAGCAGGTGCTGGCTGTGCCTGGAACCCCTCTGACCTGGAGACCCCAGGACCCTGGGCTCCAGACCCCTGCCAGCCTCCGCCAAGAAAACTACGGCACGCCAGGAGGGCTGGGAGATGCTGCAGTCCATAACTCACAGGCCACTAAATTAATTACCATGGCAGAAACAGGGAGACTGCAGCCCCGTCTCCTGGAAACCACCTCCAGTTTATACAGCACTTGGATTTGTTAAAATATTGAACCTGTTAGGAGGAAAATGGAAAAAGCCAGACAAGATGCTCTTCAGCCTGGCTGCGGGGCATGTCGGGGAGGGAGAAGGCAATCTGCGGGCTCCTTGCCCCGAGATTGATGGCTTGGGGTGCTGGCGAGGGGCAGGTCTGCAAATGCCGGCTGAGGTGACGCCAGAGGAAATGCGATATTTTGCAATCTGCGGACTTGTCATGTAAATTAGTGTCCTTAAAGGGCTTTTACATGTCTGGGTTTCCGTGCAGACGCCAGGAGCACCAGACAGAGGGACATTCATCATCCTAAGGAATGGCTTGTCCAGAGCACAGTGACCGCATCTTGCTCTGCAAGGGCAAGCGTAGGGCTTCCTTCTCCTTCTGCAGGCGCAGCCACGTGACCCAGGAATTAGTGGTGACCGCCAGTCTTGCAAGACCAGCTGTAGCACCTGGAAGGGTTGGTTACCCCCCAAATCTATGGCTTTCCCTCCATGGCCAAAGGAGATGGGGAAATAGGGTCATCCCTAGGACCCCTGGCAGCTCCTTAAATCCATCTTCTGGAACGTTCTGTTGGCCAGGACAAGAAGGCTGATTGACCATGGGCCAGACATCAGTAAGAGTTTCCACTATGCTGATCCCCAATTGTGGCAAGTTTGTGATTGGCCCCCATGGGACACTGAGGAGAGACCCCAGCACCTGCCTGGCCTCCAGGGAAGCTCGGAGATCGAGGGGCCAGTGGTGGCCAGCCGTCTTTGCTCAGGGCCATCACACCTGCCAAAGCACTGGGTAAGAATCACTAAGCAGCCCGCTGCTCTGCTGAGGTCACCCGATGCAGACCCCCAGGGAGCAGCCTCCCCAGCTGCATGTGCTGGCCCCCGATTGGGTCAGGCTAACAGTTCTGAGGCACCATCCCACAGACACAGAAGGGCCGTAGAATGGACAGAAGCTGGTGCTGCTCCTGGGACAGGCACCTCTAGGTACTAGGGGATGCCCTCCAGCCCCTGCCTACTTTGGGGCTGTCAGGTGAGCCTCAGGCAGACTGGCTAGGGCCCTGTGCTCAGACCTGGTGGGGGCGAGGAGGGGGCAGTGCCACCGAATCCCGATAGGACAGTTCCAAGGGATGAGCAGGCAAGGGTGTTGTCCCACGGAAGAGAGGAGCTGAGCGGAGAGGCGGCCACCTCTCTGGGCCGCTCCATGCAGGCACAGACCTTGCTGTCCCAGCATGGCCACAGCTCTGCTCCCCATCTGAGCAGAGGGTGTGGGCAATGGAGGGGAGCCGCCAGCTGACTGGGTATCCCCGTCCAAGGGGACCTGGAGAAAGGTGCAAGACCTCAGTGAGAGGTGGCCCGGTCTGGGGACCCTGGCTCAGCTGGAGACACTGTTCCTGGACCCTGGACAGGGCATTGCTCCACCAGCCCCCAGGACCTCTTCCCCCTCTGTCTGTCGCTTGGTGTAACACTGGCCTGCATGGTTCCTAGTGATTTATAGCAGCCACTGCACTTTCTATAATTTGGATGGGGTGCTCTGTGGTTAAACACACTGATGTCCACACAGACTGCTGAAAGAAAGGGATCAACAGAATTAGAAACTAAGGTTCTCTCCATGATGAACTTATTAGGACCAAGGTATGAAGTAGTTTCTGAAGCTGTAAGCTGAATTCACCTCTGAGCTCCCTGGAAGCCAAAGGAATAAAACTGTGGAGGAAACACTGGATTCAATAGCTCTCTGTTTGCTAAATGTGAGCAAAAGATTCCACAGAGGACAACATTTCTTTCCGGTCCCACATCCTGGAATTCACAAGTACCTATGAGGTGCTGACCGCTGCCTTGTTCCACATTCCAGCTGGAGCTCAGTCCAGCGTGGGCCACTCGGAATCCCAGCCCTTCATCCTGGCGACCACAGCTCCCTACCTGGACTCAGTTGCCCGGTGCTGAAAGGTGGGGACGGGGTTTTCGGGATGTGCTTAAGAGGACACCGGACTGTGCATGAGTCAGAGCCCGTAAAACAGAGGCCAGCACCAAGAATGACCCCACCCACCGTGTGCTCCGCCTTGCGGAAATGGTGATGTTTGGGTATCGGCTCATCATCTGTGGCCAAAGTCCGCACGGACACAGGATGGGCTGCGGCAGCAGGCGCGGGTCAGATGGGTACACTGTGGCCCTGGTTATGCTGAGGGATGGATCAGTGTGCCCTAACCAAGGTCACACATGCACCCTGGGGGCACTGGTGGGGGACGCTGCGCCCAGGGGACAGAGGTATGGGACATCTCTGCACTCTCTGCTCTATTTTGCTGTGAACCTAAAACTACTCTAAAACATACATTGTTTTAAAACACTGGAGAAAAAATCCTGGTGAAGCAAACTTTAAGGTAATGATAATCTCAGGAAGGCCAAGCAGGGTGCTGGGGCCGTGTACAGGAAACCCGTGCTGTGCTGGCCAATTGTTCTGTAAACCCGCAGATTTTCTTAGGGTGGGTTAAGAAACGCCCAACGCCTGGGCTGGCTTTGTCTCTATTGTCTGTGAGCAGCTGGGAGCCAGGGTTGCCGGGGCTGGCAAAATGCTCGATCCAGTTACTAATCCCTTCCCCTGACTGTGGTTTCACTGGATCCTATAGCTGGGTCTGTGACCTAGAGCTTGGGGCTGGGTGTGCATCCCCCAGTGACGACACTGTGGGTGACCAGGCACCGTGTGGTGGAAGTTTGCTCCCTATGTCTGAGCTCTGCATGGAAATCTCACTGCTCTGGACATTCTGGGCTGCCCTGGTTTGTTATAATCATTGGAAATGCACAATTGTCCGAAGCTGTGTAGTATTTCAGTTTGTGAACTTGGGAATTTGGGCTTCTGTTCTCTCGAACCACAAGAAGGGAGGGAGGAGAGAGCACAGCCCAGCTGAGCCAAAGGGTTGGGGCGGGGGCCTCAGGCTCTGTGTGTGTGGCAGGTGGGGCTGAGAACGGACCTGCCTGGAGCCCCTGGTGGTAGCCGCAGGAGGCTCCCCTAAAGCCAGCTGCGGGGTCCCGGCAAGGTTGCAGTCTGCTTCCTCAGTGTCTGGCCCATCTTCCAGGTAAGAACCAGGCCGGCCGCCTCCCTTCCTGTCTCCTTCGCATATGGCCCCGTGTAGTATATGGTTGTAAAAGCCCAGTGCCAGCTTCCACGAGCTCCATCCCGAGCTGGCTGCTGGGCCCCAGGGCGGCTGCAAGGAGCAGCGAATTCCCATCTACAGAAGGGGCTTGGGGCGCTGGGAGCGCCTGGGCCTCCCCTACCCCAACGATGGCCTGAACTAGGTCCGGGCGGCACGACATCTCCTCAGCGCTCTGGGCAAGTCCCCGTGAGGCTCACCTCCCACCCGTTCCCTGTCCCCAGCTACAGATGTTTTGGGCCTGTGTCCTAGCAGAGCTTGAGGTCCATGGGCTCTACTCCCTGCCTGAGCCCATACCCGAGATTGGTCTGAGCCCTTTGCTCCCTCAGAGCCTGACCTGAGAACCAGGGGGAGGCAGGAGGGCCCCGAATCCAAATGATAGCTGCCAGCTCTCAGCATAGTGCTGCTTTGGAGTGCTGGCCAGCTGCTGGCCAGGTGCCCCTCCTACCAGTGGGCGCCTTGGTTGCAAGTCCCTTTTATCATGGGACCACAGTGCACCCTGCTCCTCCGAGAGCCCACTGAAGGATCAGCTGGACAAGTTGGTGGACTGATCCATTTCTCCAGTGTTATGACTAAATGCCTGACAGGAAATGGTTCACCGGGCTCGCGGTTTCAGAGGCTGCATCATGGAGCACCATGGTAGAAGGGTGAGGGGTTTGAGAGCTGGGGAACAGGGCCAGTGGGGAAAGGGCTGAGACCAGACATAGTCCTCAAGGTCCTCAGGACTCACCCAGACATACCCTAAGTGTGCCCTACTCATCCACTAGGCAGCTCTCCAGCCAGCCGAGCTAACACCCAAGCTTAACCACCGCCCTTGGAAACAGAGCAGTGGGCCATCCCTCACGGTCAGGAGGGGCCACCCTATAGGTGGTTCCTGAGCACCTGATGCTGTGGCCAGAGACCCCCACTGCCGCCCAGTGCATGACCTTTTGGAGTCTGTCGCAGTGAGATGAAGGACAAGTGCTACGGCCCTCTCTGGAGTGGGGTCTGTCTGCAAGTAGCTTGTCCCCAGCATTGCCAGGCAGTGGCAACAGCCCCTGCTCCTCAGCAGGGACTTCCTGTTTCTGCTTGGTCTCCTTCCTCCCTCTCCATCATCCTTGTTGAGACAGCCACTTCCGCCTTCCCCATTAGGTCTTACCAGGTGAGGGGGCCTCCAGTAGCTGCTGGGACAGAGTGGGGAGTGTGGCGTCTCCCATATGAACTGGCAGGGCAGCGAGGGCAGGAACAGCATGCTCCGGCTATGAGTGCCCACCGGGGTGGGTTTTCCTACGGCATTACAGATGCACCAGCTCGATGTACTTGTGCCAGAGTGAATAAATACACATGGACACGGCCCCCGCCCCGCCCGTGCAGCTGCGCTCTGGCCCGGCGCTGACTCTCCTGAGCTCCCCACGTCTTTAATCTCACTGATTCATTTTCCTGCCTCCGACGTGGCATATTAATGTTAGGTCAAAAAGTAGTTCATCAGTTATGCTGAAGGTCTTATTTCATTTTTATTCAAGAATGTGTAATCCTGAGAAAAAATAATTACATATGAGATCAACAGAACAGCTCTGGCCTGAATTCACAGACTCACAGTCTGAAAAACCAGGAAGGGAAGTTAGATCCAACTCTGATAATTTACAGATGGAAAACTGAGTAGGAGAGGGAGGGAGGGAGCGGGGAGAGAGGCAGACCCTGGCCTATGCAGCTTGTGAGTCTGGCACCCAAGTTGGTACCTGCTTCTCCTGATGCCTACCCTAGTATCCTCCTGTGCAACATTTGTTGGCACTTTTTACCTTGAGCATCTCCTAAGAGGCGGAGCTTCCTTGGCCTGGAGGTGACTCAGCAGACCAGACAGCCACCTCTCAGAAAAGCAGTGACCATCACAATTACTGCCGTCGGCTGGGCATTCATCAGCCAGGCCCTGTGCTAAGTACTTTACTGTCTACCACTTAATTAAATCCTTAGCGGCTGGATTGTTCCCATTTTATAGATGACACAAAGTTTGGGTTTGCTTGTCTTCCATAAGCCCATGTTGAGGACTTGGCCCCCCTGCCATGATGCTGTTAGGAGGGGGCAGAACCCTTAGGGGGTGGGGCCTAAAGGGAGGACTTTGAGTCATTTGGGGTGTGTCCTTGCAGGGGATGGTGGGGCCTCATGCCCTTCCTCTTCCTTGCTGTGCATCCTGGCCAGGAGGTGGCTCTACTCTACCATGTGAGTGGGCATCAGGATTTGCCGCCCGGTGTTCTGAGTAGGAACCTGTTCCCTTGACCATCGCTGTGTGGCCACAGGGGCTGTGGCACTGGACAACACACACGGCTTCCAGACCATATTCAGCCAGGGCGTCTTGCAGTCAGAATGGATGGTACTCATTTTCTGATGTGCTGGGGCCACAAATCCAGGCATGGAGACAACATAGGCAGGACATCATGCAGCTCTGCCGGCCAGGGTCCCTGTGGTTTGGCTGGCTTCTTCATGCCGGTCCATGGGCCCCAGCCAAGCTGTCACATGGCTATGGCTCTTCCTGGTGTCCCTTGGAAAACTCTGTTCCCTGCTCACTTAAGGGACAGCCAGCCAAGAAACAGGGAGGTGTCCTGGGTCACACGCACAGGATTCGGCAGGATTTGGGCCTGTGCAACCCAGGAAACCTCCCTGTTTCTTGGCTGGCTGTCAGCTAAGGCCATTCCAGGGGTCAGTCATGATTCCCGGCCCCTGGCACCTCCTTTTCAAAGTCCCTGCCACACGTGGGTGGGCTCCTTTTGCCTCCTCCTGGCTCTCTGACCCTTCCGCTGCCTCTTCCACATCAAAGGGTCCCTGTGATTGCATCTGCAGCTCAAGGCCAGGCCTTCATGGCGAGGTCCGTGGTGCCACCGGTGCTGGGATCAGGACGTGGCATGCATAGGGGCTGTCACTCCCCTCAGCACGTCAGCAGAGGGGGGCTTCTGTCCCTCAGCACCACAAAGAAAAAGCAT